AGGGGACATCTCCCCCCTGCCTGGCCACACTATACACGGCACAGGGGCATGGGTGCAGTCTTGGGGCAGCTCCCAGTCCCGGGGAGAGCCAGACATCCTGACCATGGCCTCTGTGCTAGCACAGCAGCTTTGACGGTGCAGGGCATGGTCGCCCTCATGTGGCGGGGGGGGAGGCTAGGCATCATCCACTGTGTCCCCAGGGAGAACTGACCACTTCTCTTCTTTCTCTACAGCTGCACCAGCTGCTCATGCACCACCCCGCCCAGGACATGTGCCCGCACTCGTGGCCTGCTCTGGACCACCACCACGTGGCAGGAGTACTGAGACCACCACCTGGAGGCCCTGCAAGCCCTGCACCGCACCGTCCAGGCCTGGATGCTGGAGGACCTGAGCTCCGCTGGAAGCAGCTTGCGGAGGACTGAGCGAGGAACTGTCACCTACTGGCCCTGCTGCAGAGCATGGTGCCCTGTGCTTCCCCTACCTTGCTTCCCCCTTCCAGCTCCCTCCTCCCAGGTTTCCCCCTCCCCTCTCCCACCCTCTCTTCTCCTCTCTCCCTCCTCCTTTCCCCAGTCTCCCTAGAGTTTCATTCCCCCTCCCCAGTGTGTTAAATAAAGACAGTTTCTATTTTTGAAAATATGCGTATTTGAAATCAGGAAGGGGTAAGTGGAAGGACGAGAGAGAGTAATGGGGCACAAGCCCCCAGTGGGGCAGACTGGGGAGACTGTTAGCACTCCTCAGGGTGAAAGCTCTCCCGCAGGGCCCCCTGGATCCTGACAGCCCCTTGATGGTCCTCCTGGATGGCAGCCTGCAGACAGTGCAGCCAGGCTGCCAGCAACGTGTCCACGAGACGCAGCAGAGTCCCTAGGGGCAGGTCTGGTTCCATGTTGCACAGTGCCATAGTGCCCCTAGTGAGGGCAAGCAGAGCACGCCGAGACACAAATGCTTTGCTGTCCCTCAGCGAGGTAGACCAGCAAGCAAAGAAACTTGAGAACTGTATGTCCAAGATGGGGGTTGGGTCCCTTTAAGCACAGACCTCTGCTAGCCTGAGGTAGCAGCCCCACACACTAAGTCCAACCCTGATGCCCTGCTGGTACTGGTTCCGGCGAGCCTTACCTTTGATTCAGGGTCCACTCAATGTGGATGTGCTATTTTGAATTAGAAAAACGCTATTTTGAATTAGATTTTGTGTTAAGCTAATTCGAAATAACGCTGTAGTGTAGACATGCCCAGGAGGAGTAACAGTTAATCCAAACTAAGGACTTAGTTCGGATTAACTTCTGACTGCTGCGTGTAGTCAGTTCGAACTAAGGGGATTTAAAAATGGCGCCCGCCTAGGAACTTGCAAATGAAGCCCGGGATATTTAAATCCTGGGCTTCATTTGCAAGTTCAAATGCCTACATTAGCCACCCTAGTTCGAACTAGGGGGCTAGTGTAGACATACCCACGGGTAGTATAAAGGATGCTTACTCAATAAAATGGTAACATCTTATTAAATAGAAAATTAAGATTATTATATTGCAGTATGTTTCACTATTGTAATAATTATTGTTTTATGTCTGATATTTACTTGATAATTATTTGCAAGTTCAAATGCCTACATTAGCCACCCTAGTTCGAACTAGGGGGCTAGTGTAGACATACCCACGGGTAGTATAAAGGATGCTTACTCAATAAAATGGTAACATCTTATTAAATAGAAAATTAAGATTATTATATTGCAGTATGTTTCACTATTGTAATAATTATTGTTTTATGTCTGATATTTACTTGATAAGGATTTGTAAACCTGTTAAAATTTCCTAAATAATTCAATATTTATTAATATATATAATATATATTTAATATTCATAGTTTATATTGTGAATGGTATAAAATGATACACTAAATATTTGACAATATTAACAGCTTAATTCTGCACTCTAATATATTTCTTATTTTTTATATTATGTAGCTTCACAGGATAATGCAGTTAGGTGTGGTCATATCAGAGCTCCTTGAAAATGGTTCTTCAGTTATGGTTTGTTTGGAAGATGGTTGGGATATTACTGCACAGGTAAGCTGCTATTACAAATATGTGGATGGTGGGAGCTGGTAAACACCAAACATTAGATTGTGGCCAAGTAGATATAATTTTATTATAACTTTAAACAAACTCCCTCTTGGCAGCAAAGAAAAGGCGAAGGTACCTAGGTCTGTCACGATTCTTCATCAATTTTGATTGTCAAATCTAAAATAAGCACTCAAAATAATATCCAAAACAAGCACTCGTGGTTCTGATAACCCTACACAGTTCAAGGGCCTAACCAAGAGTGGACTAATACATGAATAGCAAATATTCATCATGAGAACTTTGCTTATCTTAGTGGTTGAAACACATTTTGGCACAGAAGGTGAGTTGATGGACATTATGCCCTTATCTCA